TTTTTCCTGGTGATCCGGGCAAAACCGAGCTGCTGCAAACCTTTCACAGACACACGGATGATTGATGTCCGACCTGGGTGTGAGGCCTGGAGTGAGTCTGTCTGGGTGAGTTATGGATGTTTTGCATACCGACCAGGAACAGATCCTTACAGCTGCTCGACATTTTCCAGTTGATCCTCGGAACATAACGCCGTAAAGATTAGCTCCAGAACATCCCCGACAGACCCGCTTTTTCTCCCTCGCCATGAATCAAACGCGCGGCTGCAGCCTGCAGGAGCCTCGGCTGGATGTCAGGCTCCTCCCACGTCCAAGTCGGCCATTTTGGTTAGGTCATGTGACCAGCAACTTTCTCAGTTGGAAACGAAACTTTGCTGTCTGTATGAAATCGGAAGACAAACGATGTCCTGACCCTAACCCTAACCCTAACCCTGACCCTGACCCTAACCCTAACCCTAAACCTGACCCTAACCCTGACCCTGACCCTTCATAATTCATAATTTTTTTCGGTTAAACTGTTTTGTACTTATTGTACAAACCTATTTAACATCCACTATATGAACATAATATTATGTATTAAATTATTATGTATTATGTAAGATTAATTTTACTATTTTTTTATTCATGTCTATTTTGCCATGAAGCAATACCAATACTTATTGGTATCAAACAGGAGGAGGTGGATGCTGGAGGCTCCCTCCTCCTGATGCTCTTTTGTTTGGAAAACTAGTTTTTGGAACTCAGATCCAGTCCTCCCAAACCTGAGAATACTCCTTCTGTTTGTGCATTCTCAGGAGGGGGGGTGGGGGGTGTTATAATGAAAGAAATGTCTATATAAATACATGAATGAATAAATAAATAAATTAGTAAATACATGAATGAATAAGTGAATAAATGAGTAAATACATTAATGAATACACAAATAAATAAAAGAAGTATATTAAATAAATAAATGACTGAATAGATAAACAAATAAATAAATAAATAAATAAATAAATAAATAAATACATGAACGAATAAATAAGTAAATACAAACATGAATACACAAATAAATAAATAAATAAATAAATAAATAAATAAATAAAACATATATTTATTTTTGTTGTTCTTTTGTGACAGCGTTTCCAGTCTGGTCCACCAAGTCTCCTCTCCTGGGATTGATATATTAACATTTTTACGCAGTCTTCCTAGATATCATTTGTCATTTTAATCTTGATTTAAGGTGGCAGAAACATTTTTCTGATTAAGCTGAATTTCCTGTTGCTTAAAGTGTAATATTATTTTCTTCTTCTTTTCCATCTTCTTCTTTTCCATCCCTGAAAGGGCACAATGTGCCTTCAAAATAAAGGCATGTTTCCGGTCATTACTAAATCCAGCTTTGTGTAACCACTATCAAAACATCTAGAAGAGCCCAATTATTTGTAAAAGTCGTGAAGTTAAATCCTGTTTACAATTCTATCTTTAAAATACATTTCCTTACAATGTCCGTGACCTAATTTTTCGCATCTGCCTTTATTTTGAAGGCGTGGCGGTTTTCGCGGCTCGTCATTGGCTGCGGGTTTGAATCCCGCGGAGTTGAGCCTCTGCCCGTGCAGAGGAAGGATCCCGGGTGTGTGGAGCCTGTTCCCGGCTGATGGATTAACCTGGAGCCCTGTTTCTAAACACAGGTAAGTCCGCGTCCATCTCACCGGTCAGGCGCGCGCGGGTCCGGTCCAGATGCGCGTGCACGTCACCGATATTTACTAACATTAGCCACAGCAACTTTGATGTATTTGGAAAAAAAACTTTTCATAGCTGTGTGACTCAGTAGATTAAATGTGGAAGCAAAAAGCAGAATATTTACTATTCAATATTTTAATATGAACGTCACAGACGTTAATAACTAAAAAACTAAAGGTTGCCATGGTGATAGTAACAGAAATTGTCCACAATTTGTGCTCTTTGTCAGTTTATTGAGCTGTATAAAATCCAGATGCAGAGTTTTGTGTAGTGTTGTATGAACTGTTGAGTAAAATGGACTATCTTTAGCCAGTAGACGAAGTATTTCCCCAGAAATGCAACACAGAGCGTTTTTAGGACATTTAAAGACATTTTAAAGACATTTTAAGGACATTTTCAGGACATTTTTAAGGATATTTTAAGGACATT